ATTCTTATGCCTACTCTACTTTGCAGTTGTTAATACAGCCAATATGTTTCAGCTGCAGTATATATATTTTGTTTGAAAACAGCCCTTTTTCCTACCAACAGAAATGAAGTAGCGAGTCTAATTTGCATATGGGAAAGTCAATGAGGGCTAATAAATGTAATTCAGAGGGAGAGCAGTATTCTGAATTAGCTATGTTTGCCCCCAATGAAATTGCTACAGGTGATGGGCCAGGATTAGGGAGATCCGGGTTTTAGTCTTCACTCTGTTACAAAGCTTGCTGGACTCCTTGGGCTAGTCACTAACTCTCAGCCAAGTGTACTTTCACAGGGTTGTTGTGAGGATCAAATTAAAAGGATTATGCAAGCCACTTTTAACATTTGCACTGTATGTTGAAGAGGCAACCCACTTTTCAGTTGACACTAACTGAAAAGAGACTGGCCTCTTCTGCAACAGTGGGGCAAACCTTAAATAATGCTCTGCTGGGTACATTGTCTTCCCCTATATGCGCATACTAGATTTCTTGAACAGCTGCTTTAGGACAAGTGCACAGTTCCATTTCTAGCTCAGGCTCCTTTCAAGCATCCACTAGGAAATAACTATTCCCCCTCCAGGCTCTCTACCATTCTCTCTGCAAATGCTTGATTTCAGCCCCAACGGGTGCAACTCCAGAATCTGCAGGCAGTCCTCCTTCACCACTCCTTAAAGATCAGAACTTATGAAATTTATTTACTACTTACATAACTTCAGACAACTGCAATCAGATTGTCAAAGTATTTATCTGGCTTCAAAACCTGAAGGCTAGACACTTTGACTGTCATGCTGCAATTCAGCATCTTTAGAAAACCACCAGTCTCCTGAAAGAGACATTTGCTGATGCTAAAAAGCAGCAGTTGAAAGGGCAAGAGATATTATTGGATGCTAAGCCAGCCATTTTGAGTCAGGTGGCTTTTCGCTTCCTTACAGTAGATACGTGTGAACTGGGTGCCATAATTGAGCAAAAGACCTGATGTGAAGGTCATACAACATACCTTTTACATGGAAGCTCCTAGCTGCTTTGCAATGGAGGACACTCCAATTCCTTATCGTTTGTGTCTCGTTTTCATTAAAGTTGCAATACTGGCATGGTTTTGGAGTTAAGAGTTAGAGCAATCTGGCACACAAGTCACCAGCCACCAAATGCTATCACAACAATAGCCAGTAGGCACCCATAATTCTTTAGCCAGCAAAATTCCAGACAACAATACAAAGCAAAGATTGGTGATGATCAATCAGACTAGCTACATCTGGCTAAACCCAAGACTGAGGCAGAATGCTGTTTAGGGACTGCTAGATGCCCTCCCGTCATAAGGAAGGCAGAGGGGGTAAGTGAAGAAAAAGAGGACTGGAGTAAAACATAATGTGGCATCCCTGGTCCCAATCCAGCAAGCTGCTGAGTATCCTTAGCTTCTTAACAACCACAAACTCGTAAGCTGAAAGCCTCTTTGGGGAAGAAAAGCAGAAGATTATGATTTGCTTCAGTGTAAAAAGAGCACTTGACTACATGAGTAAGCATTGTGTCATTACAAGATTGCAGCTAATCCCATGTCTGCTTTCATCTTCCTGTTGTTCAGCATCTCTTATTCTCTTTGTTTGGAGGCAGTCACATCTAACTGTGATGGCAGAGCAAGATTCCTTATAATAGTCGGGGCTGAAAAACTCCCGTCACCCTCAGGGCCACTTTTATGTGTTTACTTTACCATGGAAATACAGTTTTCTCGGTTTAATTCTGTGTGTTCTTATTAACCCATTCTTTTTTAATCCTTTTTTTTCCTCTGCACCCCTACAGCATCATCTCTCTGTTAGCTCCACTTTTATCTAGCTCTCATAACAAATACTTTCTTTTCTCTTGACCTTCTCTCAGTTTTTCTGTTTCTCCATACACAGGGTCACCACAAACTCCCAGACAGTCTCCATGAGATTCAAGACCATTTGGGAATGCTATGTAGAAGAGGGGCTACCCAGTGCTTGCCCCCTAAACTACAGTGGAATTTGCTTCCCTGCCAAGTTAGCTCTCCAGTTGATTGTTTCAAGAGGATACAACAAACCCAACCTTCTTCCTCCTGCCTTACTAAAACATTTCTGAATGAATTTTCCCAGTCATGACCAAGTATCTACAGGCACCAAAGGCTGAATTGCTCACATCCAAGTCCAAGTCACCTCCTTCATTCACCCATGAATCATCCCTTTGGAAGGGACATTCAGAAATCACCTGGAGGTCACATGATCAAGTAATCCCATGCCTTGATCTATCAGTTTACATTTCATCCTTCTCTGGGAGCTGGCAAGACCCACTTGAAAAACCTTAGTTGTGAAATCTTCCATTTTCTGAGTGGCTGGGATACAGTCAACAAGGCAAGATTAAGCTAAGCAAGGTGCTTAGCCAGGTGCTTTCCTGAGCCATTCTCAAGACTCTGCTAAGTAAGTTTTGGTTAGTCAATTCTATATTTCATCTTACATATTTTAAAAGCCACTGATCATTTCTGAACTTCTCCTGCTTGGTTTGTGAATAAAATACTCTTCAAGAAACTAGAGATGGCTTTAGCCCTTTTGCCTTGCCTAAGGTTGCTTTCATCCATGTATGGGATTGTTTGATTTAGGGCACCATCCTATGTGTGCGACGACAGAAGGCAGACACCTCCTGGCATGATTGGTTGGGGTGGAGAATGCTGAAATTTTAAGACTTTTTCCTATCTAATTGTCCCCTTATATGCTAGCCTCATTGTTAGAGAGCTTTAAGAAGCTCTGAAAAGTGATGTACTCTCCAAAAACACAAGACTGGATCCTTGCATGGGCAAGATAAAGGTTATTGTTAATCATCTAAGTGGTGGCACTTCATACCCCTTAAATAGACAATAAATGATATATTGTAGTCTGTTCTATCTCACAAGGCTGGAGGGCTGACTTTTGTTTATTATAGATGCCTTTTTCTGGGGACCTTTCCAAATTAGCATATTGTTTTGTACGTCTGTGTGCATGTGCACATGTTTGAAAAATGATTTCAACTGTGGCTGACTTTTCACTTGTATGGATTGTGTTTTTAAGCAGTTGTAAGCTGCCTATGGAACACTTTGGATATAAAGCAGGATATAAAAAATGAAAACAGGCCACATTCCAGCTCCCGTATGTTTAAAGCAGAGCATATGATTCTACACCCAGGGGTACTACTGTGAAGGGAACAGAGAAGACAGACAGAGTGCTTGAAGACTGCTACATTATGCTCTGGGTTACACTCAACATCATGATAAAACAAAGTAAAATCTGAGTCAACCTTCCTATATTTGCCAGGCTGAACAATGCAGAAGTCTGGCAGATACTTTGCCCTCTCTTTTTAACCCCAGAGGGGCCTGCAAACAACAGCCCTGGAAATGATTCACTTTCCCCAGAATGGGACCAAGTCAGCTGTTCGACATTCTTTCATGTTTAAATTACTAGCCTTGGGCTTCATTGTCCATTGCCTAGAAATCACAGGGACCAAAAGGGTGACTTTGACTAAATATAATGGGCAGAATGACTGGTTCTGTGTAACAGGCAGGCCCATTTGTTTGAAGCCTTTGTCCAGTGCCCCCCCCCCCCCCGGAACAGACAGCTCGTTGTCTGTTTCAAATGGAATGGGATGACTTCAATATGCATGGCTATGAGAGCACCACAAAGGTAAGAATAAATGGGCTACTCTCTGTCAGCATGTACTTTAGTCAAGACACAAAGGAGCCACTTGATTTAGTGAAAGAGGACTAAGTTGCAAGCAAGTAGGATGGACAGCATTCACTGCACAGGATGAAGTGGAGTTGTGATGGGGAATGGAGTACTACAATAGGAGAATATGGCCAGAATAAGTAAGTCATAATAATAAATAGCATTTATGCAGCTAGGCCCAGTCCATCACTGCTGGTGTTGTGCATCACATGCACACGCATTCATATCAGCAGACTTTATATCTAAGCATTCAAACAAAATGCTTTTGGGATTGATTATCTTGAACAAAAATGCAAAATGATGTGCTTAGGATCTGAGTGAGTGTGGTAATACTAAAGATCCCACAAATAATGGAAAAGCTCACTGTTTTATCCCCTGTGACTGCTTTGCATAACAGTAGGACTGAACATCATTTCCCTTTTAAGACCCGGTAACCCAGATTATGAGGTGAGCATGGTTTATGGGTTGTCACTGACTCTTGAGCCATTGCTGAATTATAGATTCCTTTTAGGTATGAATCCAGCTCTACAGTTTAATTGTGTGTTTTTAGTCATAACACCCCAAACCATGGGTTTTCCTAGATTGCTCATGTTCAGGGTTCCCACATAATAATGACCCATGACTCATCAACATCGCATACTCTGTCCATACTTTTTGCCTACTTTACTTCTTAGGCATGAAGTAACCAGGCCTATCTCTCTGGTATCCTAACTTTAGCTTGCGAAATAGGAAGAGAAAATGGAACAAGTTGTAAGGACAAGTACTTACATGTATCTTTCTAATACACAGCAAAGCAAAGAATTATTCCATTTCATGCCAAGTAATCAGTTCTGGCACTATCTAATAATGATATACATTATAACTTCAATGAGAAAGAGGGTTCCTGTGAGAATAATTCACCTGTTCACTAGTGCTGCCTGACTTGATCTAGCAAAATTACCTTATTAAATTACCTCCAATCCTAAATGCACTCTTTTGTGATGCACCTTAATCCCTCTGGCCATCTGCTCATGGGCTATGCATCTATCTGGCCTTTCCTTTGCAATCCAGTCCTTGTCAAATTGGCTGAAAGCCAGTTTCTAGAAGGCAGTTGAATGCTATTCAAAGAAGCAGCTATATACAAATATGGTTGATTTAAAAAAAACTCATTCTTAACCCTGAACCCTGACTGTTAATGCAAAATAGCTACAGAACACAGGTTCATAGTGCAACCCCACAGTCTCCATAAGTTAACTATTTAAGCCCTCTGTGCAGCATTCATGTTTTACCTCTTCCAGCCTCCGCCTCTGTTCTTTCTGCTCCTCTATTCTCTTTTGCCGCTCTGCCAACAACTGACGCTTGTGTTCCTCATTCTCACGCTGCTGCTGCTCCAGCTGCTGCCGACGGAGGGCCTCTGAACGTTCCTTGTTTGCAAGCTGGAGTCTCAGAAAATCCCGTCTCAATGTTGACTCTCCAGGCAGGTTTAGGATGGAGCTTCACAGGGAAAGACAAGCTTGCATCATTCCAGAAATGACACAGAATGCTTTTAATGTCCAGGATTTCATGAACCCTCCCCATGTTCCTGGCAGTCAACACCACATCATTAGATCAGTCCAGCCTATGAGACCATCTTTAAGGGACCATCTTATACATTTCTCTAATCTCCTATTTGACACTGAACCACTAATCCAAGAGCACCTGAAACATTTATAGATGTTCCATTTCTGCCATTTTGTTTTCCAAGACAAATAAATGTCGGAAACACAAATCAAACAGAGAACTAAAGGCACCATCACATAATCGAAGGTCTAATTTATATCTGCCAGGTCAGTAATAAAGGACATGTGGATTACTGTGGTTAACAACTTTTTCCCGTTGTAGTATGGGATTTAAAAATTAGTTTTCAAAGTAGATCTCTAAAACACAGAATATTAATTTTAGAAACCCTTTGAGTGTAACATTTAAACATATGTTTATGACTAAACCATATCACAGTTTATGTATAAATGGTATCACAGTTATCATATACTTGACAGAGACCACAAAGATTCATATACATTGATGTTCATTTATTTGTATTTAATGCAAGGCTATAACAAGGGAAGCCCTGATCGTCAAAGTTCCTGAATGCAGTATTAAAGCCCAGGGATTTTAAGGGGCAAATAGGGTGGGGCTGTTCGGAAAGAGCCTTCTTAAAAGTAATGGTTGGCTGGTAAGAAGTTTGGCAGAAGTTTTGTCTGATCAGTGCCAGCTCTCATTACTTTACTGAGCCCATTTTACAAGTGCAAGTGATACAGCCTGGACTGTTCCACCTTAGCCTGTGTGTGGAGGCTGACAGGCCTGAATGCCTCCACACAAAATCTGGCCTGCATGTAGAAAGCGAGCAGACTGGAAAGGAAAGAATTCAGTTTAGTCTTCTCCCTGGCATGCAGTGCTTCTACATGCATGGAATTTTTGTAAGTAGCAGATCGGTAGGTGTAGCCACCCGAGGGATGGGAAGAAGGAGCCACGGTCCAGTGGCAGAACACATGCGCTGCATGCAGAAGGTGCCATGCTCAGTCTCTGGCATCTGTGCGCAAAAGGATATGTCTAAAAAGCTGCCACTGGAGCAGACCAAAGTGAACTAGGTGGATGTATCGTCTGAGTGGTAAAGCTGGATTTGCTTCAAAATTTGGGGACTTTTTAATAATTTTCTTAGCATGCTCAAATGATTGTGTTACCTCAAGACCAGAGTTAGGACTGAGGGATGAAATTCAGTAGAAGAAATCCATCACAAGTAGCAATCCCGTTTTAGAGAGAGTTGCATCTGCCAGGTCAATTCTAGAGGGCAACAGAACCTCTGCCTCTCCATTCCCCACACCTTTCCATTACACTGTTGGACTCTATTCATATTCAGCAGAGCTATTCAAGCTCACTGCATACAGTCACGTGGTCAGAAGAGAACAACTGTTAGTTACCTGGGTTCCCCAGAGTCATTTTCTTCCTCTTCCTCCTCACTTCCACTGTACTCGTATTCAGTCTCATCTAGGAATAAAATGGAATGTCAGCATCCTTTATATAAGTCATTCATTTTTCTTTGAGATGAAGGCCCCAGGGTTCCGGTGTGTGTGTGTGTGTGTGTGCGTGTGCTGTGGTAAATCAATTTCAACATCTGCTTTGCCTCACAACCCAGCAAGCAAGCAAGAATTTAAGGCAGATCATCCATGCTATTATGTTCTCAGTTACTATGAATGGGTGTGAAAGCTAGACAGGGAAGAGAGCTAACAGGAAGAATAAAAATGAATAAATTTCAAGAAGATAGATGTATGTATGTATTTTCTATACTGCCCATATGCTCGGAACACTTCTTTGCATGGTTCACAAAAAATGATGTGTTTGAAACATGGTTCTGGAAAAGAGCTATGCAAATACTCTGGACCAAAAGAAAGATGAACAAGAGCAGCTCCTAGATGAAATCAAACTGGAGCTTGCCCGGAAACAAAAATGACAAAACTTGAAGCTGTTGTACTTTGGGCATGAGATGAGAAGGCAAGACTCACTGGAGAAGACAATCATGCTAGGGAATGTCAAAGACAGAAGAAGTAGAGGAAGATGAGATGGATCAATTTCCTATAGCCACTGAGTTTATAATAGTTGAGCAGGGCTGTCAAGGACAGGCTAAAACATTTTGGAGGGCTTTTTACTCATTCATAGGGATGCTGTAAGTCAGAGACAACTTTATAGCTCCTAACAAATAAAAACTTGCTAAAGAGAATGCTTTCAGAACATCTAGGTATCTGAATATGGAAAACAAAGGAATACATTATGTTGAGATGAGTTCTTGAGTAAAGATAGATATCTATCTAATATTCCCCAGAACTGAATTTTATAATATGTACAGATGCTCTCCCCACACAGAGCTCCCATATAGCCCAAAGTGCCTGATCCTTCCTAAACTTGGAAGTTAAACAGGAAGGATCTGGATGGGTCACTTGAGTATATGATTCTATCATTATGGTTGTAAACTGTCCAGAAAGCTTCAGTTATGGGTGGTATAGAAATGTTAATAACAATACATATTCAGAAGAGCAGTTGCATTAAGTTAAAAGGACCATCTATCATTTGGACTGGACAGATTTAGTCACTGCAACATTCTTAGTATTTTGTGATTCCATGCTAATAGGACAAAAAATCATGGGAAATCACTAAATTATCCCCAACACTTTCCAGGACAGAGTATGTAAGTATACCAAAGTAATATGAGATATATTGCAAGACCATCCTGAGACATGTGGTAGCAGATGGTATACAAAGGTTTTTTAATTAATTAATTAATTAATTAATGATCTAATAACTTGGACAGAATAAAGACTGAAATTAGATGTGGGAGACCTAAAAAACAAGGTTTTATCACTTCAGAAGAGCAAAGAAGACATTCTGGCTTTGTAAGAAAAGGCTCAGGGACAGCAAAAAAGCTCTGAATGTAAAAGCGCTGGAGGTCAATCCCAGGCATCCCCATTAATAATATTCTCACTGAGGCTCATGCTATGTGGTAGCAGGACTGGGAAAGAACTTTGCCTGAGACCTCCCTTGAACAGTTGCAGCCTGCTAGAGTGATCTTAGAAGACAGCAACACCGCGCTTAGCAGACTGAAATGGGAATAGCAGTACCATGTCCATCACATTCAACGGATACTGCTTTCCAGACAATCTGCATAATGCTCAGTTACATTTTTATACTGCATTTTCAGTGATACTGGGAAGGGACTCAAATGCAGACCCTATTGGGCAAACAAAATTATTGCAAGGGAAAGGCTCACTGTAAGGACAGGCTGCTTACCTGCAGCCCTAGTTCTCTGAGTGGTGATCTGTAGGTTATACAGCTTGCCAAGCACACCACAGGAACATGCTAAATGAGCTGTGGAGGTACCCCCACTCACTCCTCTGTGTATACTCCAGGCATGGCTCATGCTGGCCTCTTGGTTTCAGTGTAACACAGCGGATGAATAAGTAAAGTCCAACTTCAATGCAGACAGGAGAGCAGGTTATGCAAGCTCACAGATGGCTATTTTCAGAACCATAGTGACAGGTAAACGACCTGTCCTCTTCCTTTGTGGTTTCTGTGACTTATACCTAGGGATGACTGATAAGATAGAGACTTTGCAGAGGACGGAAATGTCATGCCAAAATGGAAGAAAGGACCACTCTGCTAAAAGCCGTTTCAGTTCTTAGTGCTAACAGTTAAGCAGTAATATCTGAGGAATGAAGACAATTCAAACTAATCATTGCACTGCACCATTGTGAGAAGGAAGTGAAGGTGGTAGAGGATGCTATGTGTTTGGTTGAGTGACCACACACTCAAAATGGGCCATGCACACAAATGAGTTCAGAAGTGAAGAGTATCACTGAAGCCACCCATTTGGCAAAACGCATCTTTGGTCTTGAGCGACAGATAGATAAGCGAGTGCATTTCAGAATTTAAAAGCTGTATGGATAGTGAATACAAGAACCCTTTTCAAATCCAGAGAATATTAGAAATACGGGAAAACCACTGGAAGGAAGGAGTCGTGCAGGCATAATGCAACCTTTCCATGGAAAACTAAGAATAGTTGGCTTAGTTTTAAGATAGTTCATGCACTCTTTGTGCCTAAGTAAGCTAAAAGAATCACCACTTTCATAGTGAGGAGCAGAAGGTCAACCGTAGCCAGAGGCTCAAAGAGTTTCAGTGTGAGCTGAGCCAGCTCTACTGACAAGACCATAAGCCAGGACTAGTGGGGGGAGATAGAGGCTGGCAAATCCCTTGAAAAATCTTTTAATTCAAGGGTGATAAAAGAACAATGGACCAGCAGTGTTGCCCTGGCTGGCCAATATCATTGCTAAGCACACTCTGCTAGATGAGAGGACCAGGCCACAATTCTTTAGAGACAAAAGAAAATCTAAGATGGTGGTGGTGGAGTGGGTAGATCATAGGACTGTGGGTCCTTCTCAACTGGGGTTAGGAATTTCAAGAAATCCTTCCATAAGAAGTTCTGGTAGAAGGTCTATGTTAACTATTGTAACTTCTAAGACTTTGTTAGAGGACTGGAGGGGCTGTGTATTTTCCACATACTGAGGTGTAGTAATTCGAGGTTCAGATGTCTGGTCATTCCTATTTTTATAGTGAAAAAGTCTGGTTGGCAAGAAAGGTGACAAAAGCTGTGGTGGAGAGTAGGAGAGAATGGAGGCAACACAGTTGCCTCAACCACCATGGAATTACCAGGATGCAAAGAGCTGCGGCATCCCAATTCTTGTTCCCCACCCCAAAAAGTAGAGGCTAGGGCAGGAACACATATGTCAGAATTTTGCCTCAGTAAAAAAGAAAGGCATCTACCAGCAAGCCTGTGTCATGCCTAGCTCTGATGCAGTGTGTAGATTTCATTAAGGACATTCTAATGTTCCCTCTGCAATTTGTATCTAGATTTGGTTGCATACCATGGGGAAACCTTCTCAACCAACTTGGCAAGGTCAGAGAAATACTGTTGTCTTGATTTAAAATAGTATCTAGAATTCTTTACTGGAATGAATGAAATTCAATGAATTCACATTCTGAAGTCAGTAGGTTGGAAATACATCAATTGAACAAGTTTCTTCTGATAATAGCTCCTCATTTTATGAGCTTGTTCAATTGACAGTAAATACATTCTTTCAAAATGCTTGTTTTCAATAAATATTACAGCGCTAAACAGCACTATGTAATAAACCTGATGATTTGTTGTTTGTTTCTCTGAAATATTTAGACTACTTTTAAAGCACCATATAGCATACCAAAGCATAAGATAATTTGATCATTTGTTCACATGTACCAAGAGAAGACAGCTAAAACTATGTTTACCACGTGCCTTCATTTGAATGTACTCTTGTATTTAAATGTACACAACCCAAAATCTAGTGATTGCCTATAGAAAATACCCAGTCAAGCTGGAGAAAAAAATCCACCCGTTGCATCACTTTAAACCTGGATGATGCTAACCCAAGCTTTGTCTCCCTGCTGCTCTGTAAGTGGTAAATGGCACACAAAACATAACATGTTCTTCAGGATCAAAATTTCTGTTGGCTATTTATTTGATTCTGAACAGATATGTACACTGCAGGTGTCCTTTCACTCTCAACTCTACTGGAGAATGGGAAAAAGCTGGAGTGTTGCTTGACCTCTTTTATGCTCCATACAAGTTGGACCACTTATGCCCGACCACCCTTTGAGATCTGCGGGAGAGTCCCTTCTCCAGGAACCCTCCATGAAAGAAATTAGGAGAGTAAGTACCCGGAGGAGGGCTTTCTCTGCGGTGGCGCCCAACCTATGGAATTCACTCCCCAAAGAGGTCCGCCTGGCACCGTCGTTACTGGTTTTTCGGCGCCAGGTAAAGACCTTTTTATTTAAACATCATTTCAATTGTTAAAACATATGATCTGGCCTGGGCAACTTCTTCTTCCTTTTCTTTCTCATCCTATATTTTTATTTTATACTGATAATTTTAATTTTGTATTTGTAAATCAATGTATTTTTTGTATTTTTATATTTAATGGTAATTTATTATGTACTATTGTATTTCAATGTATTTTATCATGTTGTAAGCCGCCCCGAGGTTTCGGCAAGGGGTGGCATAGAAATGTTATAATCATCATCATCATCATCATCTTTCACAGACGGCACTTATAATAATCTCCTCTGCTTACCTTTCTCTCCACGTTTTTTCTTGGTCCGGTCAATATGGTCCTTGAGCTGGATGCGAACCTGCCTCTCATTAGGCTGGTCTCGTATGAATGGATGTTTCATCAGCTGCTCGGTGGTTGGTCTCTGGCCATGATTCTTGACTAGACAGCTTTCAATGAAGGACTGGAACTTTTTTGACCTACCCAAACCAGACAATTAAGTAAGAAAATCAGGGAGGAAAAACGTATGTGCTAATGTTTACAAATGCAGCTCTTGTGATGGCTCCAGAGTAAATGGGTGTCTCTGCGTGTCTGTCACTTAAGCAGAGATGATCCTGCTCTTAATTTTTCCCACATCAGGAAATGAAGTCACTTTAAATGAAGTTCCCTCACAACTCACACCAGATTGGCTTGGCAAATAAGCAGAAATGGAAAATAAAATGCCAACTCAACTTCAGAAATTTCACCAAAGAATCTTAGGAAAACTACATTTCCTAACAGCCCATGGGAACTTTTCTTCCTGGTGTACTAACAGCAGGCTGGGGTGGGGGGACAAGGACAAGATAACATATTTCTCCTCCTATATGTTCTCAAGGGCAAAAACTGCTCCATGGATGTGGAAGGTATTGCCTTCTGGATATCTACTTTTATCACAACTTCTCAGAACCTAATTGCACTATTCTATAAAGCACAACTGTGTAGCAGGATTGCCCAATAATCAGATATTTTCATGGATTCAATGCAGCATGAAACTTTGGTAAATAAGAAAATTAGCACACATTAGTGCTGGAAATTATGACCAGAGCTGTACTGCAGCATAAAATAGTAAATTTTATCTTCCCAAACTGACAGATTTAGAATAGTAGCTTCTCGCAATACACTAATTCAGATAACAAAGTAAATCATCTGCCAATTCAGTTAAGCATGAAATAATGTGAAAATGCTCATTACTTGCTCAAAAAACCAATTTATTGGCAAACTCCTCACGAAAGAAAGACAAAAATTATAGGGAGATCTGCATCAACAGGCAGGTTCACACATGTATGTTTAATGATGCATGAAAAAATGACAGGTGGTATGTGAGAATGGGCCAGAGACATAGCAGCAAAGACAGAACTTTATTGCCTTACATTAATGATGGGAGGTAGAAATTCAGCTACCCATTACATTAGGAAACTGCAAGACGCATATGCTTTTGTGAAAAAAACCAAGGGATCAATACCTTTGTAGGCCTCACTGGCTGCTGTGTGTGTGCGTGTGTGTGTGTATTTGTGTGTGAGAGAGGGAGAGAGAACACCAATGTAATGATGTCACACCAGAGGCCTTTTTACAAGAATTACTTATCATGGCATATATTTATTTTTTCCCTAAAACCATACAAAATACCCCACTCCCTCCCTGCAAAGATGGTGGGAGAGAAGAGAGAGAAATGAACGAACCCTCATGGCTCCATCTAGCTTGTAGCAAAGGCTTTAGATGAGGCTTTGAATCAACTAAAGGAGTGCCTTCAATACATTTCCTACCATAAGTGGTAACGATGAATTGCACTTCAACCAATATAATCCAACATTACATTGGATGTCGGGCTTGGCTTTATTCCACGGTTTGAAAAGTCTAGAAGACAGTGGCCGGTGGTCACTTTCCAACCTTTCATCTACCATAACATCTTGAAAGTAGAATGAGACTGACCCTGACAGTGACATTTCCATGGCCATGCGAACCCGTCCTGTGAATCATTCACACAGTCTGGGTTGTTCACAGAACAAACCACTGTGCACCTGAGAGGTAACTAGGCACACTTCTCTCCAGCCAACATCCCGGTGTCCTTCATGGCAAACCCCATCTTGTCTCCCTCGCCCTGCTCTAATAGCTATCTGGGGTCATTTTTAGAAAAGAAAAGAAAATTCTGATGCAGAAAATTGTGCAGTTCTCTTCATAATATTAGTAATTTTAAATGTTACAAACACAACTGTGTAATTTTCTGGAGCTAATTTTTTGTTTAAAAAAGGTGTGTGTACCAGTTATAGCCATAACTAAATGTAAGGAATGGCAGGAGTTTTAGGCCAATCCATACAGAGGTCTGCCCTTCCTACAGGTGCTCATAGAGCTCATTCCCATGTAGTCTCCAGGATAACAGAAAGGGCTTTTCCCCAGCCCAACCTGAGAACTGAGACCTCTCCATATGTAACACACATGTTCTTCCACTGCGCTACAGTCCTTTCTTTAGTACTCATATATTCATGTACCTACGCATGCATCTTTAAAAAGTTAAAAAGTTTCAGGCAAGCATCATTTTGGAAACCCCTTTGTGGGCATCCCTGCCGGCATACCACACTGGGGCTCCTGATCTAAACAGTAATAGCTATAAATATATTTTATTCTCCTTCCGTATAGAAGCTGCTTTGGTCATCCTTCATACCTGTTTTTAACATTATACCTCTATTTAACATCTAGGGGCATTTATTTTTCTTTAGTTCCATTTGAATTTAGAGCTGCACTTACTTTTGTAATAGGAAGAATAGACACAATAGAAATAAGTAAGTGTCCATGTTGCCATGATTCTACTGCATACATTTCTTCTTGAGATATTAAAAGCAGCATGGGACAATGTTTGAATATTATTCAGAGATTCTAGTGCCAAATGTAAAAGTTACAACAACCACCTATTATAGTGGCTTCTGGTGAGATAGCTTATTAAAATATTTATTCCTGTTGTCTTTTAAATGGAAAGGTCAACAAACAACAATTAATCAATCAATTTTTTATTTATTGAGAGTATTTGTATGCCGTCCCATCGCATAGCCTTGGGACGGCTTACATAAAATAAAATAAAACAAAACATAATACAAATAAAATCCAGATCCACCCTGGCTGCAGATTAAAACCTATAAGCTGATGTTAAAAAGTTATTAAAATATTGTTGAAATAAAACGGTCTTAGCCTGGCGCCGAAAAACAAATAACAACGGCGCCAAGCGGACCTCTCTGGGGAGCGCATTCTGTAGGCAGGGCACCACCGCAGAGAAAGCCCTCCTCCGGGTACTTTGCCTCCTAATGTCTTTCACGGAGGGTTCCCGGAGGAGGGCCTCTGCTGCCGATCTCAGGGGGCGGGAGGGCAAATACGGAAGAATTATACTTCTAACCTCTGCTTTGCAGGCTAAAATTTGTCCTCATACAGGGAAAATCAACTAAAGTCAGCTAAAAGCTTTAGGCTACAATGCTTTGCTCTCTTGCCTCAATGTTATTTCCTTCTGAGTCTGAGTAGACCAGTGCAGGACTGCACTTTTAGATGAAGGATCTAGACTTGATGACTGTAAAATGCTACTTTCTGAATATTTTATCCAAAAGAAAGGGAATCCATTCAGTTCAAAGGTGCTGTGGCAGAAATCAGGGAAGGCATGATTCTCTCCCCTGGGGCAACCAAAATTAATAAGAAACAGTTTGAAATTATTTAAAAAAATAGACAGAAATGGTTATATTACCAGAACATCAAGGGGTGATCTACTGCTACTCAAGTACAAACTTGACAACCAAAAATAGCCTAAGAGACACAATTTAGGTTATATAATCTGTTTGCATAAACAAACATTTTGTGCAAAATCTGCAAGCCCTTATGAAAGCAAGCATGCACAGCTCAATATGTTTTAATCACCAATTTTACAAGATACTTTTATAAGGCTGTTATTTTTCAGTAAATACCAATTGGTTATGAACTGACTGCTTTTTAATGTTTAACAGATGTAAAAATTGTATGAATACAGCTCTGCAGCAGCTGATCATAAGACTCAGCTGCTATTCAGTTGGATTCTTTCTTGTATATTCCTTGTGATTAACGGTTTCTGCTTAACTCAGGGCTCCTACCAATAATAAATACATTTCTGAGTGCACAAAAGAAAGAACTACCACTATTATTTTGCCACACATTCAGCTGTAAGATTTGTCCAGAGACAAATTATTGCTACAGCCAAATACAAAGAAGAAATCCAGTATTTTCTTGCATGTATATCAACGTGCATGTATCTACACATACACATAAAAATACTTCCATTCCAAAAGCAGAATCTGCTCAGCTGTTGTGCTAGCAATGCACCGTCCTCAGCCACAAAGCTTACTGAGTGACTTTGGGTCAGCCACTATCTCTCAGCCTAATCCTAGGGTAGCTGCAAGGATAAAGAGAGATGCCATGACCTCCACGGAGCAAATGTGAGATAATGATGTCTATCCCTAGCAAAATACATGCATGCCTGGCGGAGGAGAGGATGGAGAGCCTGTATGGCCCAGGGATCCCTGGATGGGGAGCACCATTCATCTGCACATGGGTACTTGCTGTGTTCTCCGCCACCACCACACTGCAATTTCCCACTCAGGAAGGGCTGTGCAATACGATACTGCCACAGAGTCCCCAGGTACGTGTACACATGCCCCTGGGGGAATGTACTGTGTTGCAACTCACACTGACAAGGCCCTGAGGGAGGGATTGCTGTGTGAAAGCAACCCAACACTACGCCCAAAACTCTCTTGGTCAAACCATCTGAGCGGTACTTGACAATCCCAGTATGTATTACCATGAAGACCCAGAATGTTCCTCCTTTACAGCAGGCGAGACACGAATTTCTTTTACCATTACTAAACGCACACTGTAGGAATGCTTTTTGCCATGTACACAGAACAAAATAAAATGAATGTATTCCCTTCCTACATTGTTAGGTTTGAAGAGGTATAAACTATGCTTTTCAGCATATGAACAAGCAGAGTATGGTAAGGCAAACCTGACTAGATGGACCCAAACAAAAATGCAGAGAAAAATGTGAAAGAATGTCCACAAGTCCAATAAACTACAACACTGCATGAGGAAGCAAAACTGAGGCAAAGCAGCAAGTGCTTAACAAACAGGCTTTTGTATCAGTATCTCCAAAATGACAAAAAATTAGCATGTGGGCTGCTAATCCTGTAGCCAGACTCTGCGCAGACACTTAATGTGCATGTTACTTCTTCCCCCAACTTGTTTCCCCTATTCTTGTCATAAGCTGCCTCTTCAAACAACTAGCCTATGGCAGGCTATGATGGATGGATCAACGGAAGAGGATATACAGCTGTGTTTATCTGGCAGGCACAGCTGTCCAGCTTTTCATAGCCAGATTGCCTGCCTTGTTCACTCTCTCTTGCTGTTTTCAAAGAAAGCAATGCCGAGGCAGCGAGAA